TTTTTTTGTAGCATTCTAAGTATTTTTTCAATAAAAAATCCCTTTCCATTCAGAAGGGACTGAAAAGGCCCTTAGATGTGCAAAGCCACGCGTTTTCAGTTCGAACTTCATAAGGGAAAGTACATACGGAGCGTCGAAAAGTCTCTTTGCATATATGTAAAGCTGCGTACTTAAAACACTTTGAATGTCAATCACTTATATCTGGGTTGGGTGGACGCGTAAACTCCCCGTCATTCATTTGTGAGTGACGATCTTATTTACCCGATCAAGAATTATTTCACTTAATATTTAATTAAAAAGATGGTATCAATTTTATCGAGACATTCGAGAAGCCAATAAATATTAAAATATTAGAAGAATAAAATATTAAAATAATATACAGTAGACCTCCGTACACGGGAATGCGTTCCATTTATAAAAAATGTGAGAATTTATTGTAAAAAAATAAATATTAAAGAAGCAGTAAAATATTTTTTATTTTACTAAAAAAAAAGTATTAAAATTTTTTCTCATTGTGTTATACACGAATCTGCGTTATTTGAACTCACGTTATACAGGGGTCTACTGTACGAGGTTTATTAAGTTCAATGCCGAAATCAGCTTGGCACTCGTTCGAAGTGTCGGAGATTCGAGACCACCCGTTGACGTTCGCGACTACTAACGCGACGGCACATGCACATTCCTCCGCGAACGCATGCCGCCGCGCCGTCCCACTTTACGTTCCTCCTTTCCTCGTTTCGTCTTCCCGCTTGGTTGTTCAACCCCGCCCGCTGTCAATCCGTCACTCGTATCGCCGCTCTCGTTACTCCGGTTAATAGGATTTCGCGTCGAGGATGAATGAATGACTCTCTCTCTCCCTCTCTCTCTCTATCTCTCCGGCGCGGCACAGTCGAACGTTCCGCGAGCTCGCTATTTCAGAATATTAATTACTACCGCGCTAATTAACGCGATAACGCGGAGACCGTAAGGATGTCTCCGCTTGAAAAGCGTCGAGAGTTCAAATAAATGATTAATTATAGCTAAAGAGATTCGCGATATTAAAACTGTAACTAACTAAATCGATTTGTAGGTTTCATTAAATTATTAATTAAATATTGACGTAAACTCGCGCGCTAATAATTCTCTCATAGCTCACTTTTCCGTCTTACTCGTCGAGGATAATTCGTTTTCGGAATTCGTTATACGCGCGCCGAGTCGAGGAACCCGAGTACATCGCACCGAGGGATTCGATCGGCGCTCTCGCTACGTCGCGTCGGGTTAAACGGGAGTTTCATAGTCGATCGCCTTTGCGCTTCGGAAAGCCTCGTGGAGCGGAGAATGTCGGTCACGTTTGATATTTTTGGAACGATCGGCGTTTCTACGATACGTCGGAGTTACGGCGCGATTACCGCCGCGGCGGGGGGTTTTTTTTTTCGATCGCCTCGTTATCTCGTGCGACGATAAAAGCCGCGATTGTATCTAATCTCGCGTTAACAGCGTGAATTTCCTTCGCGACGACCGTCGGACAATGACCACTTTAATGACAATGACGAGGATTATCAGTAACAATCCACCCGTTCCTTTAATGCGACTTACTCGCGATGCGTTCGCAGACGCAGGATGCGACGTTTAATAGTACGCAAATGTGTATTCGCCAGTGCTTAGTACTTAACGTTTGCTTATTTAATATATTTAATATTTGCAAATATATTATATACTTATTACATTGCTATATTTTACTATACACTCATATCGGACCCAAACATTTCCGTTAGAAATTCATCGCTAATCGGGGAACGAATGTAATTAGGTATCCGGGACTGCAGCGAGATGTCAAAGAAGACCTGCAAAATGTTGGTCCATCAAGTGTCGGCCGTACTCCCGGATGACAGGCCAATAACTGCCATTTGCGTTGTGGAAGACTTAGACAAGTGTCCACCGAACTTCACAGTGGTACGGCGCTAATATTATATTCTCAGCTTGCTTATTTTATATATATATATATATATATATATATATATATATATCGTCGCGGTGGTCGGAGGTAATCGGTATGCGGTCTCGTTAAGGTATCGAGAACCTACGATCAGGACACCGACGCCGATCTGTGGAGGGAGAGCGGACTGTTCATCAAGAAGAAGGGTAGATATATCTGCTTCTCGAAGACTGAGGGCCAGCCTGACTGCGTGGTCGAGGATATCGTGGTGATTAATGAGCGAGACACTCCGCCAGAAGGGTACAGCATGATCTCCTACACCGTGGACTCGAGTGAGCCTTCTCTCCGTTTGCGACTAACAATGCCTGCATGCCTACGGATAAACAAGTTTGCAAGTCTTTACTTTAAATGAATCGCGGTGAAATTTTTGCAGGGCAGAAGGCGTGGCGAAAGAAACAGGTGTGCTACAAAATTAGGAATAAGGACCTGTGCGCGAGAGCGGTCACGGATATAATAATATGCAGCAGGATAATCCACAAGGACTCCAAACTGGCTCCTGTCGGATTTTCCGCCGCTGGGTATGCAAACGCCGATTTAATTCGACTCTTTTAATTAGACCGACCATTAGTTGGCTTTATGAATCCTCTATCTGTATTTTTATAGTAGCACAATGGAAAGTAAACGCTATAACAAACGGTCCAGTAATACAGTAATTACAAGATATAAATATAGATAAGTACGGAATGACTATATCTACCGGAAATATGTGGGGTGCAAAGAGAATGCGATATTTTGATATCGCGATATCTGCTGTATCTTATCTATTTTTCTTTCAGTGTCATAAATGGTGTTCGTGTGTGCTACAAGACGGTCGATATCACAAATGCGAATTCGGATTCGCAGTCGTACGTTAATATAGAGTAAGTTTCAGCGCATCGAGCAAGGTGTATCGACTTTATGCTATAAATATACGTATTTTATGATATTTCCAGTTTACTGCAGAGCTCTTCCCCGAATCCGTCAAATGGAACCTTTCACAGGCCAGTCCCCGAAAGGCCCCCGAAACCAAAGTTCTCACCAAAACCACCGGCCAACGGGATTTACCCGCAAATCGCAGCTAACAAGGACGACGAGCCCGATCGAGATTACGAGGTCCTGAGTCCTAACGCTAGGATCAGGCCCACGAGGCCCGCGCCCCAACCGCCTATGTCTACACCATTGGCCGTCACATCCACGCCCATTTACGGTACACTTCCGGGATCGTCCGATCTCGACGGAGTTCCGTTTGCGCTTAATCCTCGTCTTACTACTAATCATCATGATTCTGCTAGTGTAAGTATAGTAATTTCAAGCTAGCTTATGTAAAACAAAGTGCGAGTGACACACATTAATTTTTTACAACCTAACGATATCTTATTTCTCATCTCGACAGAATAAACTTCCTGTTATCAAGGTGTGGACGCAAAAGGACTTGGATAGAGAGGTATGCCTCTTTTTCATTGTTTTTTGACAAATTTTTCTTGTGATAGATAACTGACACAAGTTCTGTTGCAGTTCTTTTATGACTTTCGTGCGGAAAGAGAAACTTGAAAGGCGACGGCGTGCCAAAACTAATTCGAGTTCCCGAGCGATCTCTTTTCGTCGTAGTCGTTCGTATCCGATATAATGCTAGCCAACAAGCGTATAAATGGAGTGCCTGAACGAGTGATTTATACTAACCCGCGAGAGAATGAAGCCTGCATGACGCTTAAAATGGGGATTGTGTAATGTTCAAGAAGGAATAAGATAAAAGAACTAATTCGATGTACGCGTTTCTTCTTTCACGCCCCACATTTAAATTTTGATACTGGTGATAACGTTGTCATATTTTTATAGACTTGCGTTATTTTTTGATAGATAGTAGAGATTGTATATGTAAAATATATGTACACACAATTGTATTATAATGTGAGATCTTTTGCGCATCTTAATATCGCATATCAACGCTTCTAAACACGCGAACGAACGCATAATACTGTTGAGAGTGGCATCACAGTCTCGCTGCACATTTAATGCTTAACGCGGCAGTCCAAATGCGTGACGAGAGTGCAAGCCACTTAATTTTATTGTTTCTACTGCCCTTTTATTTCTTTTTTGACACAATAGTTTCTTTTTTTTTATAATTTTCCTTCAAAGTGCTGCTTTTCTTTCTTTACCTGCAATAAAGTATTATATCTTTTTTGTTTATATATACTCATCTATGATCTGTGTAATCATGTTTGAAAATATATGACTGTGTATATAGCACGTATACTGAAAAAAATCTAATTGTTCGATATCAACGGAACACTACGTTCAATCTTAATCTTCCATTTGAATTTTCCGTTCTATTCATCGTTAAATTCGTACCTTACGTAAGTTTCCGTTTTATCGCACACAAGTGTACGTGAATGTAATTTAAGATAGAAACTTGTATGTTAACAATAATTTAATAAAAGATGACGGTCGAAAACCACTAGATATCGTATCATTCATTAAATGACTAAGGTAATGAAAGATCATAGATTTCTTTCTCTCTCAATAACGCTTTATAAATTAAAATATACCAAAAGTTGAGACAAGTTATATTTTTTACATATGTATCATATAAAGACTAATAAATAATTTCACAGCAGGAATAGTTAGATCAACATTTTATAAACATCTCACCGAGGAAGGATTAAATAAATTAACCACTGGAAGTGCAACTTCAAGATCTAGCGACTCATGTATCTTTTATAGGCATACGAAAAATAATGTAATTTATATGTGTATATAAATGTTAGTTACTCACACATTAGCGTCATAACGTACTAAGGAAACGAGGTTGCGTTTTTCTGTTCGTATCTTCGTTAAGAATTCCCTCGATCAATACTGTATACAACAATTCCATTTGCACTTTAAGAGTGAGAGTCACTCGCTGCGTCACGAAAACAGCGACTAAAGATCTTCAATTAATCAGCGAATAAAAGCGATCAAAATCTTCTGTAATGCGCCTTTATCGGTGAGTTGTCGGCCGACACAGCGGAGCGAAAGATATTTTTAGTCGGCAGAAAACTGGCCAATCGTCAGACGAACGGTCCAGTCCAGTGCCTGACGTGCGTCGTCATATTGCCGGCTGGAGTCGCCTGTACCCCATGCCTCTCCAGCACCGCCGTGGCCTTGATCCTGCTCTTGTACTTCACGTCCTTCGGTTTCAGCATGCTCTTGTGATTGCTCAGCAATCTCGAGGGTGTAAGGATCGACTTGTTACTGAGGCCGGTCGCCTCCAGAAAGTGATCGTATCCGCTGCTTCCAACTTCACCGTTGCTGCTGCTGCTACTGCTGCTGCTACTGGTACCGTTGCCGACAGCAGGAACATTGTTGTTGTCTTTGGCAATGCTGTTCTCGGTCTGGCCGGCGTTGTTGAGCCGCGCGTGACCAAGTCTCTCGGATCCGTCACCCTCAGGTCGATCGGGATCGTCCGACAGATCGCACTCGTCCAGATTAAACTCCTCGAAGTTCTGTCGGATATCGAATTCCTGCGGTGAGAGAAAAAATTCATTTTTTTTTAAATTATACAGCTTTCTCGAAATATTCTATTTTCGATAAAAAAGATCTTACGTGCTCGAGTTCGACGTGGCGGTCCTTTGGGCGATTTCTGTCCTTCGTTTGTTCCTCGGGGTCACCGATCTTGAACTCTTCGAAATGCCGGACGATGTTCGTCACTCTGACCGCACCTTTCGTCTGATCCGGCTCCTTTTGTCTCACCTGGAAGGACGAGCGCACATGGTTGAATCTATTCTTCCAGAATCCACCCTCCTCGCGACCTTTCGTTTCTCTCGCCGAGTTCCTGGTCGAACTCTTTGCTTCCTCCAGATTCAGGCTCCTCGCCGCCTTCGACGACGAGGAAGATACCAGTCCTAGAATGCTTTTTTTAATAGGATCCGCGCCTCCTGGGTCTTGTTGCCTTTTTTCATCAATCAGGAACGATGGACTAGGTATCTTTTTCAGGATTAGTGTGTTGTTGCGAAACTGTGGCTTCGGCGGTAACGCCGGTGGTGTTCTGGGCGGCGTCGGCAATGTCGCCGTTATTTCCGGCAACGACTCTATATCCTCGTAATCCAGATTCTTGGCGATCGTCAATCCTCTCGTGGACATCTGCAGGCAGGTCTTTTCCTCGATTCTTTCCATCTTTAACGGAGGATTGGTCGGTTGAGGTTTCGTCAGGATCTTTCGCGTCTCCTCGACGTCGATCTTGGGCTCAATGATGACTAGCGGGATCGCCTTGGAGTCCTTTGAACTGTCGTCGTCTGACTCTTTTTGAACAATCCTCATGCCAAACTCGTCCTCGGACGCGTTTGTCTCGTTTTCCGCGGTCTCCTCCTCTCTCGATAAATCCTTATTATCCGCGACGGATTCCTCGGAGTTCTTCCTCTCCATCTCTGAACCCACCGACTCGATGTCGGACAACCTGGCTGGCTGAAAACGTACGATTCTGCCGCGATGTTTGAACCGGCGTGGTACCGATAACACCGAATTTTCTTCCTCTTCCATATCCTGCAGCAGGATCTGATTTACGCACTCCAACACGGAATTATGATTGCTGTTTGGCCGGTAAGTGCTATGCCTGAATACGTCATCGTTCAGCCGATCCTCATCCGGATCGCTATACCAATTTCCACTGGTGTCCTCCACCGTCAACTCAGGCGTCTCGAGCTTTGTCTCGCTGCAAAAAAGAAATCGAGACGGAACGTAACGGGAGAGAAAAAAAAACATAATTGCATCTAACGAAAATCATGCATATTACGTACATATTATTATTATTGCTATAATCATCTTTTGTCCTCGACTGCTCCGTCCGCTGTAGATTCCTCTCGTTCACTTCGTTGCAGGCATTGATGTAAATCGGTTCCTCTTTATCTCTCTCTTGATTACTTATCCTTGTCTGTTCCTCGTCCTCCGAGGCGAAGTTACAGTCCATCCCGTCGTCCTTGCTCTCCGTTCTAGCGATACCGACCACTACCTCAATCACGTCGGGACTCTTGGACGCCGTTTTCTGGCCCCTCGTCCTCCTCTTCGTCGACACTGTCGTCGTACCGTCCTCCTCCGTTATGTCCTCGTCATCCACGATCATCGTCGTTTCGTTTTCGCTGTCGGTCACCGTTGTCGGCGTGCACCTGCTCGAGCACTTGTTCAGGGTCGAGCCGGGCGACACGTCCGTGCTCTCGCCCTCGCAGAAGCCCTCCGTGCTGAGCAACGAGGGACTACCCTCCGTCGTCGTCGTGACGATGGACGCGTCCGTGTTCTCGCTGCTGGTCAGACTGGTCTTCGAGATATCGCTACCGGCGAAACTGTTCGTCTTCCTCACGCTGTTGCGGTCCAGCTCGTCCAGGATGCCGGACGACGCCGGGTTCAACCGCTTGATTATCTCGCACTTCAGACTCGCGATCTCTTTGCCAATACCGCTCTCCTGCAGCGTTTCTCTCTGAAAGCGACCAGTCGAATAGGTTTGAACTTAGGAAAAAAAAACAGAACGTGGAAAGTGTAAAATTCATTCTGATAGTCTTATATTATTATTTTCCCTATTTTTCTTTTTTATAAATTAAAAGCTGCTGATCGTAGACAGACTTATGCGCTAATTATTGTGTTAATTTTTTTCAAATTACTCGCAAATTGCCGAAGTCCTTCTGCAGATCCTTGTCGACGTTGACCTCGACATCGGTAGCCGACATCGTTCGATCGCGTTTGCTCTTAATATAGTTCTTTGTATACCGCCTGAGCATCGCGATCTCCAGTTGCTGGTTCCTGATGACGTTGTCCTTCTCGCAGAGCATCTGCCTGATCGACTTCTGCTCCTGCTTAAGACGCGCCTCCAGGAACAGCAGCGCCCGCAATATCCTCGAGAGCTGCTGATCCCGCAGAATCTTCTCGGACTCGTGACCGGTGGTACGGTGGTCCAGCTCCCTCACCAGCTCCCGGCATTTCTTCGTGGCGGTCTTCAGGGCCTCCTGGGTCCGCGCCAGTTCCTGCTTGAGCGTCCGGACTTCGGCTTCCATCTGAAAAACACGAATTTCGGAAAAATAAATCTCACGAAAAATATCCACATTAAGGATTATTGTCAAATCTTAATGACATTCTGTGATCAATTTAAAAGTCGATCTTTCCCTCACAAAAATATCTGATGAATTATAGATTAAATATTAAAGAATTAAATTTGTATCGGATTGACAGAATAAAAGGTTCCTTTGTAGAATCTCTTGGAGAGTCTCCCCTTCTTCTAAATTCTCCAGATCTCTCTCGGGATAAATGGCTCGCGTTGCACAATGCGGATCGCGACGAGATAGATATTCATCGTGCATGCGAGTACGACGCGCAGACCGAGGGATGAATACCGCCAACGTCTGAGCAAAATCGTGGAACAATGCCGGGCCGGTCTTCGGCCTTGCTTCGCGCGCGCGCGCGAAAGAAGAGAAGTCGCGACCGAGCTGAACTGACTCGGAGAAAAAGAGACGTCCGCGTTCGCTCGTCCAGATGCAGGGGGGGACCGGCTCCCAGGACCGGAAGGACCTGACCCGGCCACCAAAGAACCGGTAAGTCACGGCCCGCGAAACGATAGAACGATCGGCGACGGCGGTCCATTGTTAGGTAAACAATTTCCAACTTGACGCATTGACTGGCCAAGGATGAGCGGGGCATTTGCATTTTGGGGTCATGCACGATGACGTGCGACGACTCCCATCATTATCTCAGTTAATGAGATTCTTTGGCGAGTCTGGCGATGATCGGAATAATGATTTCATCGAAGAGTTGAAACGACTTATTCTCAGAGTCCGTAGCTCCAATTTCTACAGTACAAACTTAAAAATATTAATTAGAATGAAAATGACAACGCGACCACAAGTCGAGCGGTCTGACGGACCGGAGTGTGGGGAATTAAGGACTCGAAAATAAGTGTGGCTAGCTAGAATTAACAGTGTACAAGAAAAATGCGTGATATTTGACATATTTATATGTATATATTTATTATCAAAATTTTTTATTTTTGCAAAAATAAATTTATCTTACGAATATTTGAAATTCCGGATTTCAGTTCCGGATTTCTACGAGCGGCAAGTTAATTTTGCACGGAAGAGAATTGCGATTTTCGTGATATTATCTCCCGGGCGAAAGTTTATGTCCGATCGGTGTACTTACAATTAAACTGGAAATTAGAAACAGAAATTAAAAGACGTTATCGACAGCTTGTAAATTTGCTAAATTATTCGAGTTTTATTTTCGCTGTCATTATTCTTCGGCGGTTTCAACTCGCGGGAGAGAGAATCTCTCCGGGGATTTACGAGCCCAGATTTCCGTTTCCGCATGCGGCGAGCTCGCCTCGCCAGAAAAGGAAACCGCGAAGCGGCACTTTCCGCTAGTCAATTTAACGCCGTTTCTCGAGCGGGCGAGCGATCTAACGGGGCGATGCAGGCTAAAGTGCAAGCCGGCGATTACGCGTGGTTTATTCGCGGCTGGATATGCAGCACTATATCTCGCGCCCGCCTTTCCCGCTTTTACGGGCGTTACGAATACGATACATACATCGACTGGAACGTAACGAAGAGTCCCCTCGGCAAATAACTCGCCGATGTTCAGCGTCTCCTCGCGGCCGATAAGCCGCGGCCGCAGCTAATTAAAACGCGAGATGCTAATCGCGCCCCGAAGAACGAGACCGTGTCTCCGCCAATTAACGAGCGAGCGAGAGCGGTTTTTTTTTTAGACGCGAGCTAAATCGCGTCGTGTGGGGTCCTCCCGATACGATCTGTCTAAAAAAAATCGGTTGTCGTTGGTCCCGAGCTTCCTTCCATGCACCGCCACTTTTCGCGTTTCAGCGATCCGTTCTTTCATAACAATTTCTTTTCTTTTTATGTGACTCGCATCTCATCGGAATGAAGCCTTCTCTTCCGAAGATATTAAATTTCGACGCGTATATTTTGATAGCTCTGAGAACTTTTGGAATCGAATCTTTCCTGTACGAGTCCTCTCATTCTCCATGCGTCGCAGAGAGGCGAAATAATCACGCGAACCTGAAATACGTGCGCTCGCCGGAGGAGAACTCGCTAACGGGAGGGACCGCGTGGACGATCCTTCCGTGAAATTCCTTTAAGAACCTCGCGCGCGGCGGACCGGCCGATTACAAGGTTACCGAGTCATCGGGACGGAGGTTTCTCAGGCCGTTGGCGCTGGCCATAAATTATACGCCCCTGGTTTTGAGGGAGAGAGAGAGACGAATTAGAAGAATCTGGCCAAGACGATTTTTTTTTAATGCGCGAACGAGGTAAAAGTAAAACGGCGGTCTAAACGAAATTCTCTTGAACAATCACTGAAGAATGTAAATATCGAGCAAGTTTATACCTTGCGACATACTTGATTGTACATCAAATAATTGTAAATATTTAAATATGGAAGGAGAGGAAATGAAGCAGAAGTTTTTGTTAACATTTTAATATCTTCATCGCGAACTGTTATTTTGTGATAAGATTTGCTTCAGATACCGATGAGAAATTTAATGTTTGAAATGAAATACGTCAACCTTCTTTCTCGTATTTAACGCAACGCAGCTTCATGTAAACTCTCTGAAGAGGTTCTTGAGTTACTTTATTTTATGTTCACTTTACAAATCATAAACTCTTCACTGTTAAACATTAAAGAATGAAATTTAAACCAATACCTTGAGCTAGATAACATTTTGTTATTTACATGTTTTAACTACTATGTGCGTCGAAATTTATTATTTTAATACAAAACAATATTATTTTGACTTTATTGGAATAGTTAAATTACTACATATTGAATAAGGACAGTGGCGACCTATAGGAATGATTAAAAATGAATTGAGTATAATTTGACGCTATGAATTTAAGTGAATTCAATTTTTTCTCAGATGGGAGTTTAATCTCAGGACCTATTTATAAAATTGCTCGCGTCTCTAGAGAATCGTTAACGTCGGTCAATAATCTCCCACGACGATACGGAAACGGTCCGTCGGCCGTAACAATGACCGTGAAAAGTCACGCTGAAGAGTCACGAGAGCGCCTTGAAGACGCCAGGCAGGAAGCGCCGCGGAGGATGTGCCGCGGCACGTCTCTCCGGCAGGAAGACAAGTGTGACACAATACGAGCGACTCGTGTTTTCGTCTTTCAATGCCGCGCAGCGAGAGGTAGATAGCTTCTGGCTCGTCCTCCGCTCCATAATAAATGCGAGTCCACGCGAGTTCACGAACTCGCGTGGAACTCGCTCCATGCCGTTCGGAGCACGCGCGGAGCAGCACGCCGAAAAGTGTGCTGTGCGCGACTTTCTCCGCTCGCCGGCCAACGGTTTTTCGGTTGGAGGTGCGCGATTGGAGGTCAAGCGAGCCGGCTCGAGACAGATCGGGGGATCGGTACAGTTATCCGCCTTTGTGTTCGCTCCGATCGAGGCGAGATCGGCCGCCTCGATCTCGGCCGCCGATCGGAGTCGCCGCGCCGCGCGAACCGGAGCCGAGCCGATAATACGTCGCGCGAGCGCGATGAAACCGGTGAGGAACCGGTAAACGGAGTCCTGATATCGCGTGATATCGCGACGACGCATCTCCCCGATGACCGCGACGAGAGCGGTTCGCCGGATGACGTCACGCTCCTCGGTGTATGTCGCGCCGGTGTTCCGCTGGCCGATGAATGGAGAACGCACTTTCTCCGAACACACGTTACGTACCGCCGACTGCATTTGTTGCGCCGCTGCAACAGCTGCGGACGACGGGACGCGCTCGCATTGTTTTGCTCGCGAAACGACCCGGCACCATATGCGTTCCCTCCCGCTCGGGGCCGACGTGCTACATGCATGCGTGCCTGCGTGCGTGCGTGCGTGCGGAACGTACAAAGACGGCCAGGTGTCGGGCGTCGAGTGACTTCCCGTCAACGGCGTCGACGAGGTAATCACGATATCCTACGAACTTGGATTCCTCGTCTCTGAGTAACTCTGGCGAACTGATCAACGATCTCATCTTTTAGTTTTTCTTAAATCTCTCTCGAAGAGCAAATCGCGCGCTTCACAACCAAGTCGTGGCAAATTTATAGCAAGCTCACATATGAGTGAACTTCACGCTTGAAAGATACGAATTCGGGACGGCTCGAGAGTAGGTGAACCTCTTGGATCGACTTTAAGTCCACCCGAACCACTCATCTTGGAGTTCTCTTGCCGTTCATTCGGAGCGGACGTTAGCTGTCGCGAAGTCGGGTCTTTACCTTCGCGAATTCCTCCTGGCTGGCCTCCGCGCTATCTCAGGACGATCCTGGCGCATCTGTACGAACGCGCGCGGAATTTTACATCGCTCCCGATGACGCACTCCGCAACGGCGCGGCCGAATTTCACCTGGCCGCGCGCTACGCGCGGCATTCCGCGCGTTCCCGCGGTCCTCTCTCGGACCCCTCGGGGGTTCGGTGAGCCTCGACGGTCCCCGACCAGCTTTACCGAGGCGTTGCGAGCTCGATCACGCGAGCGCGTTGCATCTCGGCCAGGTAATACACACACGCACGCACATGCGGAAGGAGAGGAAATTTCGGAGAACTTGAAGACACTCGCGCGCCGCGACAACGGTGCTCCTCGGCGCCGCGAAGAAGATATTCGAGGGAGAGAGAGAAAGAGAGAGAGAGAGAGAAAGAGGAAGAGAGAGAAAGAAAAAGAAAGACTTGACGAGGTGCCGCGGAATACCAACGGACTTAGGCCACGGACTGACTCCGACTGGTCGGTGAACACTCGGTTCGTTCGCTGCCGAGCCACCAGCGAAACGGTGCATGGAAGGGAGAACGTTGCCGTCCAGGCACGGATTTTCAAAGGCCGGAGCTCGATTTCTTCGCGACATCGCTGTCGCGTTACTGCTTGGCTGTAATTGCGATCGCGCGACAATGAAGAAGCTCACTCGTCATCATCGGGCTTGGGAGCGGTTCTTAAAATCCTGTAGAATAGAAAGCTGGGCACTTCGTCTTCCGAATTTCTGGAGATACGCTCTATCTCTGAACGTGTGAACAGCGTAAAAGACTTAACTTTCTGCTAAAACTATCATCGCGTGTATCGTTATTGCAACGAACGCAAGAAGTTATTATTATTCTTTTTTACAATACGCAAGAGAAAATCGAATTATTATAATGAAATACAGAAGCAACTTACAAAATCGAGACGTAACAAAAAATTGTAAGAATAAATAATGAGATAAATTTTACGCAAGATTTATAAGAAATAAATTATAAAATTGAAAAAGAGAGAAGAGAGAGAGTAAAAAAGTTGTTATTATTATTATTACTATTCTTTTTACAACACGCAGAAGAAAATCAATTAAATTATTATAATAAAATACAGGAACAACTTGACAAAATCGAGGCATAGCAAAAAATTATAAGAATAAATAATAAGATAAAATTTACACAAGATTTATGAGAAGTAAATTATAAAAGTGAGAGAAGACAGACAGGATTAAAACTATATTAACCCTAGACAGACTCACTTATTTTTCTCATGCGTGAATGACTCACTGGGGTAATACGTTACCCCAAACTTGTACCGCGCGTATAATATTTCCAGAATGTTCTTAGAAAACTTTATAATAGATAATTTTGTTTGTTGTTTAATAGGGAAGACGATAGTAGTCATCAATTTGCGGTAGTAAAAAAAAAAACAGTAAAAAAATTTCGAAAAACAAAACAAAGAACCAAAAATTTGGCTGAAATGATGCGAATTTGAATTTCGCGTGGGGTAACGTATTACCCCAGTGAGTCTGTCTAGGGTTAAATAAATTACTTCAAATTATTTGACATCGCTGAACATTTTCTTCTCACAATCCACAGTCGCGAAATAATCCATTTGCGCGCTATTTAGGTGTTAATCGGCAAGTTCAGCCCTGCATCAAGACGGCAAGCGGGGAGAAGGAAGAAAGTAAGAAAAGCAGGGGCGAAAGAAAGAAAGAGACGCAAAGTCTGCCTCACGTGCAATTGTATGCGTGCGCGTGTGTGTCGTACGTTTATACGCGGTCCATCGTGCCCAGATGGAAACAGGTAGGGCCACCGATGGCACCGCCGGCCGTACGTAATCCAATGCAAACGTGAGCGGAACGTGTCCCTTTTCTCAGACGCAACGCGAAACGTTCGCGATTCCAGTCAGCTGACTTCTATTTAATTCTTTAAGTTCCTCGTACTGTCCTTCACGTTTCGAGAAATATTGTCAGGAATTCTTATATCTTGATTTTAAAGAGATCTTCAACGTAATTTCGTCAAGTTAACGCCACTCTCCTCCTATCTGATTAATTGAGGATATTATAGATAAAAGATATGACGATGTCCTGGAACACTGTGCGTATTTCCGCGTATCGTCACCCTCATTCGGCGACACGCGAGCTATCGTTGCCGTTGGAATGTTATCAATACTGGTTACTCGTTCTTGATCTTGTCACGATAATGCGCGCCGCGGGAATGGCGATTGTCCTAGAAAACGAGATTCTACAGGTCGGCGCCTGGCCTCTCCGAGCGGAGTGGGTTGTGCAATAGTCGTTCAACGACTTCGTCGAGGTCTTCTTGCTCTCCCTCGCTTTTTACGGAAACCACCTTCGGTAATTCTCATTCGACCGCTCGGAGGCAGTGCCTCCCTCAATCACTTAAATCGGAAGTCCGCATAGCCGGATAGAAAATAGAAAGGAATGTGCGAGATCAAACGAGTGTTTTGTGCGCAAAAGGAAAGGAGTTTGCAATTTATTTTCGTCGCATCTAATATCCTTCGTATTCGTCACCTTTGTTGCGCCTAAAATATCGTACCTGTAACTTTGGTTTCCTCGCATCGCGAAGACATCGCGAAACGTGCAGTGTTTCCGATTCCTTTGCGAGCCGCGATGAAATTAATCCCTCCTTTCTCCTCCTTTGCCCTCCCCCCATTGATTTATTAACTCGGTTACCTTAGAGACTTGCTTTATCAGTTCACCGGTATGATTGTTGCTCACTATCGAGACTTAAAGTCGATGAGCTAAACCTTCCTAATCTAAAATATGTTTTCGGTAAGTTATGTTAAAAGTTTCTCATCAATCAATGGAAGATTTACTCACTCCGGAGCATTTGTCTAAAGTCAAGACAATAGAACGCTATAAAAAAAAAATAAAAAATATCAGAAGTCTCAAGTGATTAGAAATCAACACATCAAAAAGAGCACAGAGCCACAACAGAGCGTTCACAAAAACTAAAATTTTATCTGCATTGTTTTAATAACGAATTTAACACGCCTCGAGTCAGTTCGCTTTTTCGAGAATCTACATTGCAGCTATCTGTCGAAGTCGACGGCGAAAGCGAACGTAAATCTAACTCACGTCGATCTAAGTCTCCCCTAATTTTCTGTTTACCGAGTTTACACGTTAAGAGTTATAAATTATTGATCGCGGCGCGGCGTACCGTTCACTTAATCGTTATCGAATCAGTTTGATCGCGTTGCTCCGTGACTCCAATTAAAATCAAAGTCGGACGCGACGAGGAATGACGACGATGCGATCGTCGACGCCGAAGGTGTATGTACACTGTCAACGGTATCCGGGTCGTACGCGAAATATTGGCTCGCACGTCGCAATGACGAATCCTCTTCGTTGTCGACTGCAAGATAACGATAAAACGGGACAAAGGTGCACGAGCACCTGGATCTCGCGCGATTGATCGATCGTGCCCGCACGTGTGCTCCGCGAAACCAGAACAAAGTTTGCGATCGACGTATCTCTGGTATTGGATACATTGTAATGCGATATACGCTAGTATCTTTGATACAGACCGTTCTATTTCGATAAAAAACGGATTCCTCTACGGGACGCATGGTAAAGAAATTCAACAAAAAAAAAGTGAAAATTATTAGAATCTGCTGAACACGAAAAATGTATAGAGAGAATGTAATGGATTTTGTTAAAACATTTAGATTATAACTTGAGGCTTCGCAGAAATAAGGAGGAAATAATCCTGATTACGAAAATGAGAAAGAGTGAAATACCATGGATAAATATGTGAACTAACAGATGATAGTACGAAAAAATTCGTATGGAAACCAGACGGGTTAAATTGAAAGAGAAACGTTTCAGTCTGAGAAGAATATACGTAAGAAAGTTGTTAAATTCTATAATATGTAATAATTAAAGATTGTTTGCAAGTTATTTGTAATTAATATTTCACATGCACCCAATTATTGCAATATGTGGAATGATATTGCGGAGATATTGCAGAATCGTGATTTCCAGACGCCATGATTTTCTCTTTAAAATCCAGCTCTTCATAGAAAAACACGGAAAGCTACGCATTATCGTTGCGATGTAACGCGCAAATGTCTATTGTTTCGCGATAAACGCAAGGCAAATTATCCAGATAACCGGGTATTGTGTTATTGCCAACGTTAATAAACACTTGGTAGCGCCGCAAAATTCCGGTTTTGCGCGAATACGAGCGTCCTGTCGGGCGATTACGTCACTTCTTATCACGGGTATCTCGGTAGCTTATTCTTATCGTCGGTTCCTTTTGCACGGGAAAAATACCTGAGTAAATCCAAGCATTTCTCGCGAGAATCCTAAATATGAATGCGAAATGTTTATCTTTCAGATTTTTGATAACTCCTTCGCCCTCTTCGTTGAAACGAAGAATCTTCAGAAACGTCAAGCGTGCGATTTCAATGAAAATCAGGATTGAATTTAAAATTAGATGATTTAGATTCAACTTGGAATTAATTTTCACTGACAGACCTTAAGAGATTTATCTTGTAAAGTTACATTCTTCGTTTTGTTTCATTTGACGGTTCGGTTAACGATAAAAACGCGCTGGCGAACGCGGCGGGTTAACCGACAAACCAATTTTACTATTTTTCAGCGAATATAATCCAGTAACGTCCGTTCCACGGTCGGCATGCCAGCGCGACAAGATTTTTGCACACTGCTTAATTACTTATTACCTTTGTTAGTTCTCTCGTGGTGGACCGTAAAGTTTACGCGCGCGATGCGAGCGTAAATACTCATGATCCATACCGGATAGGGATCCAATACCGGCATTAGACGTATCAATACCCAGCTCCAAGGTAAACGATCGATGCCGAAAAAAACGTAAAGTACTTTCGGCATCGTTTACTTTTACCTCCGATATTACGTAAGCATCGTTTACTTTAACTCCGATATTGCGCGGGTATCTATACGAACATCGAGTAGTACTGATGCTTTCAAGAAGATTGAACAATCTTAAATTGACAGAAACGTCGATTATCTAAATTAAGTGCCCTGAACTAAATTGAAAGATCGATGCGTTAAATTTAATCGAACATTACGCCGCACCGTCTCGGGATGCGGGTGCACGTACGTATGACCCGCGTGCGAGGCAGGTGCGCGACGAGGGTACCGCAACTTCATGGTGCGGGTTCTCTCACGTCGTCCCCGTGATCTTCCGATTAACAGCCAGGGTACATCGACTTCTCTCGATTGCCCGTCTCTCCCCTCCTCAAATGTATTTCCGTGGAAATCGATCGGTTACAGAGCACTTCGTGAGATTGGTGTCACGCGGAGAACATTACGAAGCTCCTTTCTATTTTTATGTCAACTGCTATCAACTGCTGGCGGAACGTTTCAGACTTCAAATCAATTAGCGACCGGATAGTAGAAGGGAGAGGAGAACCGCTGGCCGCTCGCGCACCTTTTAAGCCTTCGTAAAACAATGCCACGTGTGTGTGTCACACCGAGTGACATATGGCAGCCAATGGCGAAGAGTTACGAAAAAAACCGCAGAGGATCGATATACAACGCTGAGATAAGACCGATAGGTATGTTACGGCTCGTTGTTAACAGCGAATGTGACATACTGTCTCTCCCTGTCTTTTTCTAAAACGTTAACTGTAAATAAAATCCGAAAGATCGACGGCAACGCTTCACGATTGTGATTTGTTGCACGTCTGCGCGTTATATTGTAAGTACTGGAAGAATCAAATTAAATAAAAGAACGTGTCGTATTTTCTTTTATACTTCCGCGAAAGTGTCTTAGCTTGACATTTAGGATGTCGTAGACAGCGCGATATTTCCGGGACGTTCTATCTCCGGGATATATTTCTAGGACAGATGACAGACTCTTCCTCGAGGAAAATCGTCCCCCGGTTCCGGCGAACGGTTCTCTGCGTACATGAGAAAACAATTCTGAGAATATATCGCGGTAGAACGACGACAACGGCGACGGCGTAACGCGCACAAATGCGATAAAGTTGTCGCTACCAAACGTTAATGATCGTGTCGCTGTTATCTTATCAGCGCGCGGAATTTCTCCGCACTTTAAAGCCGGCTACGAAAGTGCCGACGAAAGTAGAACGTGCACATTTCGGGTATATACGGATCGTCGCGGATCAGTTATCCGAAAGAACCGTCTCCGTTGCATATTTTCGCAAAGTTGCTGGCCGCTTTGACGCCCGTTCTCCCGCAAATAATTTCGCCGACAAAAGACGGCAGAATCGCCGAAAGTATAATAGCTAAAAAAGCAACTGCTTTTAAAACTTCACACACGAAGGATGGGCTATTATAGCGATCTGAAGGAGTTATTTTCATCCTAGCGTCAATATCAAGGATCGACGTCAGCGTTTAACGTCAAGGGGCGACAATATTGAGACAAAACTCAGCGGTTCTTAACGTATCGATTAATCTACTCACGATTGCGCGATTTAACAATTCGACACTCCGCAGTTGGACAGTCAAACTGTCGAACTTTCGCCCCATATATCGGTCGAACAGAGAAAACTGGCCGGGCACATTTTTGTCGCGCATCGCATGCTCTATCGCCTGCATTCCGCTCTAATTGTTGCTCTCCCTTTATCGCCGATACGTTTGTATCCGCGATCGTATTCGAAAGTGCGGATAGTAAACCTAATCGCGAGATACAACAGTGCGTCCGAGGAATTCGAGATGAAGATTAAACCTATCCGCGCGCGTATCTCGAAAGGAAATCTATCATTTATCGTTAAAAAAAAAATTACGTCTTGATTTATAAAATATTGTGCTTGAAAAAATAAATTAAATAATTCCCGAATCATTGCCGGATCATTAAAACGGCGAAAGAATCTCTCGGTATATATATATCTTCACACTTCATCGCTTCTCTACTCCGCTCCAGATTGCATGTCCGACGGCTCTAATGATGAGTAGCGCGAACTTCTGTGCGGTCCCTCGATCCTTTGAATCATTTCCTCCCGTGCCGTTTCCACCCCTTCGCTCGCTTTCTTGCTCCCGATCTCGCGATCGCGATCAATAGAGATAGCAACACGAGATGCGCGACACGGATAACAAACACGCGGCGGGACGCGCATGCGATATTACGTTTGAAAAGTGAGCACACGTGTCCAATGTGTAATGGGCCCCGCGTGAGTTGCCTTCGGGGTGAGTTGCCGGGGCCGTCTTCTTGTTCTCAATGCTTCTTGTTCACGACAACCTCCCGCTGCAAGCCACTCGTCGGTGTGGCTTCCCAGAGTTATTACGATTATATTACTACGGACGAGGCTACTCGATTCACTCGCTCGTAAAGCTCGCACGTGATAGAAATTCCTAGCGCACGATAGAAATTCATCGCTATACTCATCTTCACGCGGTCTTTAAGTTCCTCTATACGGAAGGCCCCAATTATTGAAGAAAATCAAATGAGTCCAAAGTGCTCTCTTATATATTTATCTGTCCCTATCTATTTTTATTTTTCTTATACGTTTCATACTTTTTATACTCACTTATTTACTTGCTTTTATCTTATTTATTTTCATATACATATGTGTTTTCGCGGTGTGTATATGCATTGAACATATATTTCCATATATTTCAAATCTCCCAACGAATTATTATAATGAACACGTATCGAGAGTGTGATTTAATATTTTCTATACATTTTGTTGAGTTTTGAACATAGAGGCGTAAAATATATCGATCCATCGAAAGAATCGATTTCGTTTTATGACTTGGCAGGTGTATGAATAAACTCGTTACGTATCAACGGATGCAATTATGTCAATAACGATCGCTAAGGAACACGGCTCCAATCAGCGACGGAAGTTAAGCGATGTCTTGGTCATTGTTCCATTACTTCTTCTTCCTCCTCTTCTTAATTTTTTTCCCCCCGGTGCTCATGTCCCTTCCTTTCCTTTATGAGCTTCGCTACGTAACAGGTTTGCACTGGTGTTGCGAATGTTTATTACGAGAGATCATGCATGCGTACATTACTATCATTCATGGCAACAGACTTCCTGGTGCCTCCCGTCGTAAACGTACGACTTCTTTTTCAAGCTCTAGAAACGCGTTTCATTCGAGCGAAATGCGAGCGATGACTAAAGAGAAAATATCAAGAAGGACTAATACAGGCATCGCAGTCGCGGAATGTATGATAAAAGTTATCAACTGTAGTTTCTGTATTTTAATCAATACGCAATAAAATTCAAATTTTCAACGCGTACGTGTATATGCATGAGATTGTCGTATTACGATTATTAAATTATAAAATTTACCATTAAATTCTCTTTGGTTCTCTCGT